TCCCAAGAAAAGAAACTTTTATTACTTCTTTCATTCATATAGACTTCCAGACTTAAGTGTTGCTCTATCCTCATGCACATTCCCAAAACAATAAAAGCATTTTGGATGTCTCTTTTTCATCCTCAACCTGGAATATGATTGGATGTCCGTTATGGAATGATAGTATAACAGAGAAAATTAATTAGAACTACACAATATAAAAGCTTCTTTTCACATAAGTCAATCGAAGATTTTAGGGTCTAATACCAGCATTACAGGGAATTCCACTCTATTAATTTTTGTGGCTTTTTATATTACACAAATATAGCAATAATTGAGTTTTAGAAAGATTTAGGAATCGCAAAATTATGTAAAATATATTTTTTCTAGAAACTGCTGATCATTTGATGAAAGAACTAATACTAGAGGCATTGAGAGAATTTGGAGAACCACATTTACAGAGCATCTTTTCAAGGAACCCATCTTGTCTTAAAATACTACAGTGAGACCATTAGACAGCTATGGGCGTGGAGGGAAGAATACAGAAAACCATTCCAAATTTTGCAACATACTTGTTTGCTTTTAGCAATTTCACTTGTTCTGAGGTTATTGTTATTTTATCTTTTTGTTCTTCCCTTTTATCCCCAACCTTCCTTTTATAAAGGTTTGGCTTCTGTTACTGCAAAGCTTTACAATCAGATTATATCACGTACATAGATGAACTCCTGACTTCTATCAATGCAAAACCCAACCTGCTCTCCATGTTCCTGACGGATCCACGCCTGGCTTTGACCATCTTCTTCGGCCCGTGCACACCATACCAGTTCCGCTTGACTGGCCCGGGGAGATGGGACGGAGCCAGAAATGCCATCTTGACCCAGTGGGACCGAATGCTCAAGGTCACCAAAACTCGAATCGTCAAAGAATCCCCATCTCCCTTTGCAAGTGTACTTCAACTCTTTAGCTTTCTGGCTTTGCTTGGGGCCATTTTCCTGATCTTCCTATAAATAAAAGATGACCTAAATGCCTTGTCAGATGCATAGAGTAGATTCCCCTGCCTGTCTTTGAATCTCTGCCAAACACTAGTGATGGTAGCTGAGTTTCTTGCTATTGAAAGCTCTGTCTTCGTTGGGAAGGCTGACCAACTTAACCAATGAGAGAAGTCAGACAAGGACGTGTCCATTGATTTGTCCAAAGTAACAGAGCTATTAAGTGGCTGAGGCAGGACATACATCTCCAGAAAATACTTCCAGGGCTTTGAATCCACCTGTGATTTCCAGTGTTCAGATACTTCAGAGGTCTTAATAGTGACATCATAAAAGTCATATGACAAGAATGGCACTCCATGAGAATACCTGTACTCTGCCTAGGAGTGTATGTCAACCTGCCTTCTGGGACTTGGCGGTCTTTTCCTTATGTACACCACTGTGTTTCTGAATCTCCACATAAATCCTTCTCCCTGTTTCTCCCTCCAACTTCGTCTGTGACCGTGACCACACTGGGCCTACTCCATGGCCACCATGTAGAATAGACTCCATAGAAAGAATGGGTCCTCATGCCTACTCTTAAAATTATTCCATAAATCACTCTGAGAAACAGTATTTTTTTTTCACCCATTCACTAAAAAATTAATTTAGTGAGGTCCCAGAATTCTAGTAAAAGAGGAAACATATGAAACACTGGCCTCTTGCACGCATCCTTTAAATCAGGGCTTCTGAGGCATTTCATCTGCAAGAGTGATTTGACATTCTTTCTAGTGTATACAAACAGTGGCCCCTGCGAGGCCCATTTTAAGTCAAGATGTCTGTCTTCGTACATTTCAAGGCTCTGGATCTTTCAACGTGCCCCCCACTATGAGGGAGGCACTTAGAGAACTGAGCCCAGTGTGGAAAGCTCTGCCACTTAGTAGTCCCATGAGCTGGAGCAGGTCATTCACTTTTCCTAAGCGTCACTTCTCCTTTCTAGAACATAGGAGTTAACGTACACCCTACTTCATGAGGGCGTCATAAGGAGTAAATGGTGCGACCTACATAAAATGCTTAACTTAAGTTCTGATACGTGTTTACTGACAGCTATTACTACCATCATTACCAAAGCTGTCTGCCTATCTTACTGCTTGCTTTATTTTATTTTTTCAGAGCCATAGACCTAGCTCCTCATTGGACATTCCCAGCAGAATATGTCATGGGCTTCTCAAACGCAGAGGTTAAACAAAATTAACCTCATTATCTTTTCCAACATTCTCCCTCTCACTCCCTGATATCATCCTCCTTACCCCCTGTAGGGAAAATATATATTATATATTTCAATAAATGATTATACAGAACTGTGCAATTTAAAAATAAGCGGCACTCAATAAAATTTGTTTTCTTCTTTCATAGTCAAATGAATGAATACATGAAAACATAAATAAATAAATAAGCATTGTTCACAGTGCAGCCTTGGGGCTATCTGATTTTGAATCTATGGAAGCTATTTTAAAATTCTGTAAATTATAGACAACAGCAATGTAAAATAACTCTTGCGTATAGACGTGTAAATTACATCCAATAAAGGTTCAGTTGGCTTCTGTCCCCCGCTGTGGAGACCACTGATTTCGCCTCGGTTTGCATATTCATGTCAACATCCCTGATCTATAAACATGTGCCCCTTTGAACTGGTTGGTAATATATCTTACCCATTCCCCGCTTTAATAACAAGTCATACAAAAGTTTTTTAACTGTGTTCCATTTATATTTTTGCATGAGAGTCATGATTTTGCTTCCTTTGAAAAGTGACCTTTTAACACCTCTCTCCAGGAATAACAGCACTATAATTCATCCATAGTTTTCCACTAAAACACAGGTCACCTTGACCCGCTGACCCTCAGACCTCATGTCTCACAGTCAACAAGTCCTGCTAAGTGTATTTCTAGTGCAGAGCAGGGATCGTGTGGAAATGTGTGCAAAAGTGCGAGCCATGGTGACAGACAGGCCAGTGGGACTCCCACCCACTTTGCTGAACAACCTGGGGCAAGTTATGGCTTCAGTTCCTTTATCTGTAAAGCATGGCAATACCACTTTAGCATCGTCATGAGGAGAGATAAATGAAGATGATGCATATGAAGCATTTAGCCCAATGTCTAGCATACAGTAGGAGCCCCCCTAAAGGTAGCCATTATTATCTCACAGACTGGTCTATTCCTACCATCCCTACTAGGGTCCTCACTCCCTAGCTCAGGCCCATCTCATTCTTGTCTAGGTCACTGGCCCCATACTCCCCCCACCCCGGTATGATTTGAGGGTGCTGCCATTCCCTGTAGCGGTCATAGTAAGAGGAGATACATAAGAGCTTCTTGGGTTCTCCCGACTCCAGTGCCCCCTCAATCACTGCTTCCCAATGTAGGACGTTTCACGTGGAGGCTGTCGACAATTGAGAAAAACAACAGCCTTCAGGGTTGTGCTGTCCTGTATAAAACAAAATACATTGTTTTTAAATAGTCTACCTTCAGAGCCTTTTGATTTAAAGAAAAAAAAATAGCCTTCCCTTCGTCCTTTCTCTGCCAAAAAGAACTTGATTAGGCATTTTAAAGTAGACCCCAAAAGTTCAAGCCAAAAGGGAAAAGATGAGATGATGAGCTTGTGTCAACAGGATAACATTTTCCTAAGGAATATGAGTTATACCGTTTAACTATGCAATGTTTTTATTTCCGACATCTGTGTTCAGGGAAGTGCAAGCAGCCTTTGAAAAGAGTGGGCCTGTGATTTGAGTGACAGATTAGCAAGCAGAGACGGAGCAAGTCCAGCGTGTGGTGGGGGGAGGAAGTTAAACCCAAACGTCAGCAAAGGAGAACACGTGTCACCGAAAAGCTCTTCTGTAAAAGCTCCTCTATCGCGTCCAGACAAACAAGGAGTCAACAGGAGACATTCCAGGGCATTACAGGAGGAGGGTGGGGACTGTGGGACGAAAATGTTATCAAATGCACTTGGGGGCAATTTGGCAGTATTTACCAAAATTTTAAATGCATAGATCTTTTGACACAGCAATTATATGTACATCTTAGAATCTGTCCCACAGAGATTGTCATGTGTACCAAGATACGTACACAAAGATGCTTTGTTGCACTGTTTGTAATAGTCGATGAAATAAAGGGGGGAGGGATACACTGGTGTTCGTTAATGAACCTGTTCTTTCAACTTCTCTGTTGGCTTGATAGTTTCCAAAAGAAAAATTAATTTTCTGCCAACAGGAGATTTCAAATAAAACTCCAGATTTCCGGTTTCTACTGAAAAGAGCCTAAAACCTTGCCATATTGGGCCCGTGCTCTCAAATAGCACCATTTCGCGGAACCTTAGACACCGGCTTCTTACCTGGCCCCTGGCCCTCCTTTGTGTTCGACCTTCCCGACCCCTCTGATCATTTGTATTTGTGCTCCTGGTCTAGAAACTGTTCAGTGAACCAAAGATGGTCTTTTATAAAATGGTCTCTTCCTTCCTCTACAACTAGACTGAAGAACAAAAGGACAGCAACTTGTCTGTTCCCCTTCCCCCGATTCCCCAGTGCTGTTCCCCTCCCCTAATTCCCCAATAAAAATCTTTAAAAAATAAAATTTAAAAAAAAAAGGTCTCTTCCAAGTAGTTGATGGAAAAGGAAAGAAGAAAAAAAAAAGATGGTGCCTATTTAGTAGTCTATCGTCGCCACTGCTTCTATACTTGTTCCTCTTCTTGTGCCCTAGGTGAATATGTGAAACTAATTTCATGGTTTCTCAGATGCATTTTACCAGCTCCCTCTGCTGACACTTCCCGAAAGAATGAAACTGCTTAAACTCATTGTAAGTTTTGAATTTTAATCACACTTCTGGGTTCAGATAGCTCTGGACGTAGAAGAACTTGAGGGTTTGATAGTCACCTAAATTTCTTTCTCCTTTGGACAGCTCCTACGACGACCATTCAAGAGACTAATACGACACGAGCCAGGGTTTACTAAGCAGACCCCTTGTTTCACAGAGGGCTGTGCTTTTGGGGTGACTTGGCGCCCTCTAAAGGCTACAAGGAGAAGAGCAGCCGGTTACCACCTGCTTCCCTTTAAGTTTTGGGCTTGGCTAGAACTGTGACGTTGAGGAGGGTGGGGGGAAAGGGCAAAAGTCGTTGGTGGCTTTCGAATCCGAAAGCCCTATTCTAACTTGTTCTTAAACCCTCCCTTGCAATCACGGAAGTATCAAGCTTGTGTTCTACACAACTTTTTTTTACCCTCAATAAGTATTCTTTCTGCTGTCACCAGCGTAACTGGAAAGACGAATGGTTTTTGTTTTAAACTAAGAGAATTTTGATCCAAGTCAGCATTTCTTTATTTTTCTCTTAAAACAGAGCGTTCGAGTTTCAAGTTTCATGTTTGGTTTGGTTTTTAAAGACAAACGCTATTTTTGGCTATTGGCTTTGAGAAATAATTTGTCAGAGTATCTGCTCTATGCTAACAAGGTAAGTGTCCCGGATTTTTTTTTGTAATGGGGAAATGTTTCTAGAAGCTGCTTTTGCAGAGCCTGACTAGTCTGCGTGGTGAGTGCATTCCTTAAGAATTAATATGATTCTGTTCTTCAGGCGCCTCTGGATTCGGGTTAAAGCAACAGAATTAAGGAGAAAGTCGGGAAATAAAGGGACCTTGTAAGGAAAAGTCAGGTTTCAGGGAGAAACCACCCGAAAGGAAAGTGTCCGTGAGAATAACAGAATCATGGGACTTGCTATAATTCTAGGCTCACCTCTGAGTGTCATGATATGGATGAGACTGGGAAACACAAAACAACTCCACAATGGTTACAATAGGAAATCCGACAACAAAGTAAGAGCATTGGTGGGGTGAGCATAAGAAATATAAACAGGTCAACCTCAAACAAATCACCATCAATTACATGATGTGCAAATCACTCAAGCCTCTTTGGGTCTCAAAACTGATTCCTACATTTTCTGGTCAGGTATGGAATGGACTTCTCCATGTTGTTCCGAAGTCCAATTCAATAGTTCAGGATTCATATCTACCAAGGAGCTAAACGCAAGCCACCTTTCAGCTTCCGAGCGCCCTTATGCTCACAGCACACTTTACAGTTTACAGAGAGAATGCGCACACCTCCTCTCCCCGCAACCCTTCAAGCCTGCAGTATTCTCCTCTCCCTTTCAACTCACAACTATTTTTGGAACCCATTACTTGGCATTCAGACATAAAAAATAGTTCTTTCAAGCTGGGAGGGAACAAAGAGAAAACTACCAGAACCCTCTGTTTTACAAATGTGAGAATGATGTCACAGGCAAATCAAGAATTTTGTCCAAGTTTATTTGTCCAGCCGGTTAGAGGCAGAAGCAGGGTTAGAACTCAGATCTCCCAATTTCCAGGTCACTCACTCACTCCCCTTAGTGACTTCAAGCTTTTTTTTTTTTTTTAATGGCTGCCTCCACTCAGAAATTCATTATCTGCAACTCTGGCATAATTTCAAAAGGTGCAAATTCCTAATTTGTTTTTGCTGTCTCTGAGTCAATCTGTCAAGGACACAGTGTTCTTGCCCAAGAAAGACAAGCCTCCACCATGTATCTAACTAGGTCCCCAGGAATAGCCAAACAGCCCAAGGGTGTCTGCAGGCAGTTGTACCCAGAGCACGCTGCCATGATAGGACATACCACATGATCGCCTAGGTGTCGGCCTCTCTCCATCTGATGGCAACTCCTTGAGGAAAGGATTTAATCATCTTTGAGGCCCCCACACTTGGCTCAAGAGGTAGCCAGTTGAATGAATTTGCATCTGTTGAATGACTTTGCTGCCAGTCTATTCACTACAGCACCTTTTGAACTTTTCCAGTTCCATTAACCATGTCTTATCTGCCGTTATTGCAAAGACAGAGCATAGTCCAGATCTGCCAACTCCAGGCCTCTCTCTGCTTAGTAGTCAAGAGATTGCAGTGTTCTTCCTGGTGGAGGTCATTTATTTCTGATCAGAAGCTGTCTAGACCTCCTGCTTCTCAACTCCAAAGACTCCACAGGTGCGTCTGTCCGCGTGTTTCCAAACTTGTTGATACATTTTATCTGCGTGAGCTGTCTTTTCTAGGGAAAAGGAATTAGGGTGGTAGGGGGCGAACAATTTGGTAAAAATTTGGTGCTAGGTACTTGCATGTAAGTAATGTGACTTTGTTGAAAACAATCCCACAATGTGAGTGTTTTTTCTTATTATAAATCTTAAGGTGTTTAGGTAGGTCGTTCGGGGTAACATGGCGCAGAGACAGAGATCGAGCCCGGTTCTGCCGCCTCCCACATCTATTCCCGTTGCAGCCCACCTAGCTCCCCCACATCAGTGGAGACTCCAAAATCAACCAAAAGTCTAAGGGGAAGAAGTATAAATGTTCCTACATGTAATGAAGCCAGGTATGAATGCCTCATCCTTACAAAGGGCAGGATGGCAAGTAAGACTTAGAAGGAGGCAACAAGTGAGATCCACATGGCAAGTGCCTGGATCTACTTCAGAACCAGGTTCATCCGAGAGGGCCAAGTGCTTGGCAGTCTTCCTCTGGCCTCTGTGAGAGCAAATCCACTTTGTTTCTGTGAATGGGGGTGCTGATCTGACTAGGAAGCCAGCTGCACAGCCATAGGAACAAACTCCACCCAGCCTGTCCCAGCACACCCAGCAAGCCTGAACACAGGCTCAGTAACGGGAATCACAGGCCACCTCAGGCTCTCAGACCGACAAGATGTATACACCCAGGCCTCACATCAGAGATCCAGTCACCCCAGACTCGGCCTCTTATTAGCAGCGTGGCCTTAAGTTGCGTCAAATGATAATGCTTTGTGTTCTGGTGCTTTTTTTTTTTTTTTACTGGTGCTCAGGACTCTTAAATATTTTTTCTCTTGACAAATTGATGGTCACCCATTAGGAGAGGGGTTGGGCAAAAAAGGTGAAGGGATTAAGAAATACAAATTGCCAGTTATAAAAACAGTCATGGGGATGTAAAGTACAGTACAGGGAATATCATCAATAATATTGCAATAACTGTGTATGGTGTCAGATGGGTACTAGACTTATCGGGGTGATCCACTCCGTAAGGTATATATTGGGTTGTCGGAAAAGTCATGACATATTTTTTCTATGTTTTTCATTGCAAAGATGCATCATGACTTTTCCAACAAATGAATAAATGTCTAATCACTATGATGTACACCTAAAACGAATATAATATTGTTTGTCAACTGTAATTGGAAAATAAATTAATTTTAAAAATAAATATTCTCTCTTGGTTCCCCAAGGAAAATACCACTATGGTAAGTGGCATGACACTACAGAAGTTATGTAAGGGTTATTATACAACAAGATCGCTCCTCACAAAGTGCCACGTCTTCAAGGGCAAAGTCAAATCAGTTGCATGTATCTTATGAAACAAGTACTTTGAGGTCTCAACTACTCTTCCTGTGATTTTTTTTTTTTTGCACTAGTTAAGGGGGTTGAGGGAAAGGCAGTGCTTGCACCTCAGTCTACCTGACATGTCAAGGGCCTCAGCATGACAGAAACCTGGTTTTCTGGAATGAACTAAATGGTTAGGCCATCGGATCCAAGCCAAAGCTACAGTGGTGTTTGCAAAATCCCAAGTTGCAAAATCAGGAACTGGTCATAAACCTCCATGACACTTCCTCCAGCCTGTCCTGAGAAGCACAGGAGTCCCCATTGCCATAGGACCTCATCTGGGACTCTAGAATGTTCCATATGACTTCCCTTGGGAACTTTGTTCTGGATCATGGTCAGCCAATGCTGCCTCTGTGCAAGTTTAAGAACTCCCTCCTCCTCCCCCCCACAACTCCCAATTCATGTAACATCTTTGCTGCATGGCTGGAGGTGGTCCATGACTAGCTATTCTTTAGGACTCTAGATGCTTTGCATAAAAACTAACAGTTTTGCTGACTGCAGTTCCTAGGGTTCAGGGAGGCCAGGTGATAAAGCAAAGGACCCCTGGCATACTGAGAGGGCTCTAAAGTCCCAAGGGGATCAATGTCCTGTCAACAGTAGCTAATAATAAGAGCTAAATTTAATTGAGCACTTACTATGTAACAGACACACTTCTACAACGCTTCCAGCATATACTCATTCATTTAATTTCATAACAAATATTTAAAGTAGGTATTTTTTTTTCCATCCCCATGGTACTGATGAGAAAACTAAGGCACAGAGAAGATAAACAGTTCATCACATTCATCCTATTAATAAGTGAACCCAGGACTTAACCCAAAAGTCTAATTGCAGAGCCCTACTTTTAACCAAAACGTGATTCTGCCTGAGCTCAGAGATGAAAGGAGGGTATTTCTATCACCACAAAAGTTGAGTTCTGTGACAAGGGCTGCCTTCCAGCCTTGCCACATAAAGAAGCTTTGCTCGACCTTCTTCTAACAGAGCAGACCATGGTCAAGCGCGTGGCCGTGATTGGAGCCGGTGTGAGTGGCCTGTCCTCCCTCAAATGCTGCTTGGATGAGGACCTAGAGCCCACCTGCTTTGAGAGAAGTAATGACATCGGAGGGCTATGGAAGTTCACTGTGAGTAGCTCATACCCTCCCACCCCCATCCGTTGTAACCTGGCTGTGTGCTCTGTCACTCCTCAGGCATGGTGGCCTCAGCCTACCTTGGTGATCACAGAGGGGAGCAGCTCACTGCAACCACACACACTGGTGCCATGCTAACACAGTGCAGATGCAGTGGCAGGGCAGAGGCTGGGACAGTGGGAAGAGTTATGTCTGATACACAAATACGGGCTTGAAAGTTATGACGATGTCTGGCCCATGGACAGAACAAAACAAAGTAGTGGAGTGTCACATTGGGTAAGCTGAATGACACTGGTGAATACAGAGCAGATAACACTTTAGGAAGGAAGGAAGTTGGCATCAGGGGGTGGAGCCCCTGCCCCCAGGCCTTGTTCAGGTCTTTGGGAAGACAATTGGCAAGGGTGAGGCAAGAACCCTGACCTCGAAAGAAATAATCAGAACGAGAAGCACCCAGGCACTGACCAGTCCTTCTTTGGAATGGAATGTGCAGCCCAGGGGTTATGCTCAGGACGAGGTCAGCCATTAGGAGACCTGAGCATCAGGAACTGGGGCTGGATGTGGCTGCCACCACCTGCCTCTGGCCAGGTTGGCCCCGTTACTGGGAGTAGGAGGGTCTCCGGTGGGGACAGAAGGGGGGCCTGCCTCACTGGTGGGTTATAAGGTGTGAGAAGATGGGAGGCCCAAGCACTAATTGCTTCAGGGTGGAGAGAAAAGCAACATTCAGTGAGAGCTCAAAGTGAGGGAGGGCTCTTCAGACTGGTCTGAATGAGGGAAGACTGCATGGAGGAGGTGGCATTTGCCAGTCGTTGATGGATAGAAGAAAACAGAATAAACAAGTGTGTGTAAGCAGGGATGGTCACAACCTTAGGAGTACAGGTACCAGGAAAGATGTTTCTTCAGGTGTCTGTGAGCCTCATCAAGCACCAGTGTCAACGTGGAAACAGAGGGTTGGGTCTGCTTTATGTGCCTTCTGCTATTTGACCCCACAATTTGTTTGGTTTCCTTCTCCTAGTCTAAAGTAACATGGATTCATTTTAGAATATTGAATTAAACAAAAGGAACAATACAAATTAAATATAAAATCAATACCCATGGGTCGGCACTATTAAAATTTCTATGTAATTTCTTCCAGTCATCTATATGCTATTTTTTTTTCAAAAATACAACTTTCTATGAATTTTCATTCATTCAACAAGTGCTTTTCATGTCCCTCTACCAGGATACAATGAGGAACAATATTGGCAGGGACCCCGCCTTCCTTACAGTTTGCAAAGCAGTGCAATCGTGCTGTGATAGAAGTACAGGGTGCTATGGGGCCACAACAGCCACCTCACGCTCATCTGTTGGGTCAGGGATGGCTTCTTAGAGAAAGTAATGACTCAGAAATTGATTTGGAGGAGACATTAGAGGTTAGCTTTAGCCACAAGAAGTTCATCAGTGCCTTTACATAGCTCTTTGTGTTTGTTTTGATTTTTGAATGATGGAGATTGAGACAACAACATGCAGAGCAGTCCTTGAGGAAACAGAGGCTGCCAGGACGTGGGGGCTCTTTCATGAAGCTTGAGACTGCACAGAGAGACTCAGTCTTGGACGGGGACTTAGGTTGAAAGGGGGTTTGTTCTATTTTTAAAATTAGAGTCTTCAGGATTTCAGCAGCTGGTGGGAAAGAGCCAAGGAAGAGAGAGTGTTTTGGAAATATACATAGACAATCACTAGGCAAGTCAGTGAGTTGTTCTTGGGGCAAAGGAAGAGGGGTGGAGGATTAACCACGGCGAGGGGAGAAGGAAAAGATAAGCAGAGAGACCATGGGCCCCACGTTCACGGAATCGTTGAAGGGCAGGGTTAGTCTTGGAGAGCCCTGTTCAATTTTGTTAGCTTCTTTGTAGTTTCAGAAAGATACGGCATCTAATCATTCGAATCCCAGCAGTGATTTCTGATAACTGTCGCATGGGGACCCGACGCTACGTTCTCCTGCAACTCTTTGGAAGGACAAGTGGAACCCTGACTGCTGAAGGTCTCTCTCCTCTTCCTCTCATCTCCCCCACTCGTGAAGTTAACTATACTCTCCCTACAGGAAAGTTCCAGAGATGGGATGACCAGGGTCTACAAGTCCTTAGTGACAAATGTCAGCAAAGAAATGTCATGTTACAGTGACTTCCCCTTCCAAGAAGATTATCCCAATTACATGAACCAAGAAAAATTTTGGAACTATCTCCAAGAATTCGCTGAGCACTTTGGTCTTCTGAAATACATTCGGTTCAGGGTAAGACACCTTGAACACCTTGGGTTACGGAAGATTAAGGCGCTGGGGCTGGCCCATTCTGCAATCCAATGGAAACAGGATGATGAAACAAACTTCCTGATTCCATCAACTCTCTGAATAAGGCGAATCATAAAGATTCCTCATTGTCCTGCAGCTAACCTTTTTCTCAGATAAATCACTAACATACGGAATTTCCTGATTCCTCCTCTAAATCCAAACTCTCTTTCAGCATGGAATTTAGAATTTTTTCAAGAGAAAGGAAAAAAATAAATTTTGTTCATGAACCCCATTGGGAAGAAATGACTAGAAGTCTGAACCACAGACATAAGCACGGGTCAAAACTCATTTTCCTAAATTTTTCCAGTGCATCCACTATTGGAATTCATTTCCTTCTCACCGGGAGTACAAACAGAACGTTTCTTCCTTCCCATGAAGGCCTTCAGATGTTTGGGGTCCTAGTCTATAGGACCACTTTTGAGACGTTGCCCACGTTTCTTAACTTCTCTAGGGAAAAGATAAGCCAATGTTAACAGAACCCCTATCACGAGGCAGACTTGGCCCTCTCGAAATACCAAACATGGTTACCATACCCATCCTTACATGAGGTCCCAAGGTGATTGCTAAAAAGCAAGTACCATATTTCTCCATGTATAAGATACACCCTTTTTCGAAAAATTTGGGGTCTAAAAACTGGGTGCGTCTTATACGGTGGTTGTAGATTTCAAATGCCATAGATGGAACTGAGGACGAGGCGATATATGAAGACAGTGATTCGTCATCAGACACAGATGAGGACAAGCTAATGGTTGGAAGTTTTGACAGTGATGAGGAGTTGTACGAATTATGTGATGAATAAAACTTGAGTCCAATAACTTTATGTAATACATTTTTTTTCCAAATTTCAGGCCCCAAAATTAAGGTGTGTCTCATACATGGGGAAATACGGTATTTGTCTTTTGTTTTCAGACCACAGTGTGCAGCATAACGAAGCGTCCAGACTTTTCCGAAACTGGTCGGTGGGATGTTGTCACAGAGACAGAGGGGAAGCAGGAAACAGCTGTCTTTGATGCTGTCATGGTTTGCACTGGACATCTCCTGAGTCCCCGTCTACCTCTGGAGTCCTTTCCTGGTGAGTCATTTCTACCTGAGACCACCCTACTCTTCCAGCTTCTTCTAGAAGAACAATTATTCATCTGTAATTGGAAACACTTTCTAATGATTGCAGACAACTTTATGTTCACCCTCAGAAATAATATGTACAAAATAACTTGGAAAAGTATAAAGCACAATATAAGTGTCAGGTCTTATTATTTACTTGTTCATATAAATGCTGCAGTTATTTAAGCTTCATCGTGTCTGATTCAAGTTCAATGACCACGCAAGGCTCAAAACTACCAGATCAGTCGTGAAAAAGAACAGGCTTTCAATTTTGTCATTGAATTACAGGTTATCTGAATCAGAAATGACCTGTAATTCAGTAATTAAAAGGAAGTGAAAGCTTAAGGAAACTTGACAGATTTCTCTTTTTTTTTTTTAAGAAGCATACCTGAAATTATACATCCAAAGGAATAGTTTCACCACAATAATAATCCATAAATCCCTGACGCCTGGCAAGCAGCCCAAAGGCGTTTTAGAAATTCCCTTTTGGAAAAGCTTTTGACTCCAACAGCATGCTCTTTTTAATATATGCACAATTGGGAAATCTCCATCTTTTGAGGTCAAATGAGAATTTCTAATATGTAGTGAAGCTACTCTCCTTCTGTCACTTCTAGGTGGCTCTAACGGCTACTAAGTGAAGTATTGAAACTGCTCCTTAAAGAATTGAAAGAACTTTTAAGGAAGGGCGTGAAGAATGAAACTTGCAAACCCTGGCCAATAAAAAAAAATCAAATATAGATCTTCTAAATGTAATCTCAGATTAAAATATCGTATTCAAAAAAATAAAAAAAAATATTAGGGACCAAGTGAAAATTCACTACATGCTTTTGCAAAGAAGCAATATTGTAAATGGTAGCTCGGCTTCAGGCTTGCCGCTTAGCTGGGGGCTAAGTACACAAGCTCGCTGAAGTGGTATTTAAACAGCACTAACCCGACCTTTAACCAGCACTCAAGGAATATTTAACCAGCACTTATAATAGCATGTCTGTGGGCAATGTGTTACAAGCGTCAAACAACTAAGACCTTGGTATCATGGTGTCTTGTCAGGTTTGGGACGGCGTACCCTTCCCCCTCCGCTCCTTCCAGTTCACTTAGACTGTGACAAGAAGGCCGTCGGGAAAGACAGATCAAGGGCCGAGCGGCGAGGACCCCTGTGGCAGTCTCAAGTGTACAAACTGGCACAGTCGGTCCCCAAGGAAAGGGACTGGATAGACACACACTAGAATAGCAAGGTAGTTTCACATCATTTGGAGAGCAAACATGTCTACATACCTCAGTGACCTCTGGGGGAAAAAATGATTGTCATAGAAATATTGGGGTGCCCCTCTCTTTTGCCCTAAAACACAGATTATGGAGAAGAGGGACAGATAGAAGATAGTACAGACTTCAGAGATTGCTCCCAAGGAGGTCTTGGTTTGTGACGAGACTTTAGAAGGATCTGTTAACAGGGGGACACCAGGACAGAGAGCCCCAACCTCCTTTCTGCTCGCAGGGTGAGGTATGTTGGTGAGTGGATATGATGTAAGTTTTCTGGGGAGCCCCCTGGTCTGCTACAGTTCCCTCGGGGCAATGTCCCTTGATGGGTGGCATTTAGCACAATGGTTCTGAACAAAGTTCTGGAGTCCCACCGCCTGGACCAAATCCTGGCACTAGTTTCATGAACTTAACCCTTGTAAGCCTCAGCAAAGTGGAAATATGAGCTCCCATCTCCCAGAGCAGCAATAAGGATGAAATGAGATCATCCATGTAAAACAGCCTACAGAGCACATAGTGAGCGCTTTATAAATATTAGCCACTGCTGCTAGGAATGGCGGCCTGCTATCAACTATTATCCCCCTGCAGAGAATTGTTCAGAAGGCCCTGTTTCCTGAGAGTCACGTGATTCCTCCAGACTGAGACATGTTTATTCCTCGCAGTAAAGTCACAACTCTGGCCTCCACAGCCTCTCCGCCTCGGAGTGGGGACCCCTCTCATATCCCA